CTGAACGTCACACAGGTACCCCTGTGATACACCGATTCCCGCTGTAGACTTCTAGTAGCATCTCACCCCCTTTATTCGAGGCACTTATGGCAATTTGCATTCATGTGTGTGCGCATGTGCTTTTTAAATTACCTGTGCTTCTCACTAAAACTACAACCTATGAGAACATGGGACATGGCTGTTTTCCCATCCCTCTATGTCTAGCACGATGCCTGGACACAGCAGGCATGCTGTACGTACGTATTTATTCAGTGGAATGGGTGAATGGCCCAACCTTGGGAGACCCACATCCCACACAGGGCAGGAGGTGTGGAGAAAACCTAGCCCTGGGCTAGAATGTTGGGTGAATTTTCCTGACATTTTATGTGTGCATCTTTTTCTCAGGGATGAGGGGAAAGGTAGGGATTTGTAACAGAAGTACAGTAACCATCTTTTGGCAGGGTGGTCCTGGGGTTTCTGGAGAGCATGCGCAATGAGAGCAGGCTGAGGCCAGAGGGCAAAAAGGCCAGATCTCTCCTGGGGACAATGGAACAGGCTTGTGTCTGTTCTGACAGACCCGGATTCAACCCTTGGCACCATCAGTTAGTTACGTGCTATGTGGCCTTGAGCAACAAGACTAACTTCCCTGAGCTTCATCGGTGCATTTCTCTGTGACATGGAGCAGCTACTCCCTGCTGCCAGTGTAGCTGTGAAGGTTAGCGAGACGATGTCTACAGAGGCTAAGAGAACGTCTGGCTGACAGGACCTGCCCCATGACAGTAGGACCTTGCTAGGCCACAGGACTCCTGCAGGCAGGGGCCGTGTTTGTTCTTGGTTCAACAGCCCAGTAATTAATACAATGCCTGGCACATAGGAAGTGCTTTAGGAAGTCTTTATTAATGGTTTCATTAAGGGTCAAATATATTTTTCCTCAGTAGAATTTCCCTCTTCCAGGAAGGATTCCCTATGTGTAAAAATTTCTTCTCACTCACACTAATGGCTTTCCTTGTGAGCAACTCACATCCTCGTGTTTTGAAACCTCTGAGCTGCAGTATTAGTGTGTGTTCGTGGGCTGGCTGTGTCCTGAGTGATCTCGGAGACCCCCGCCTTGCCTTGTGCTCTCGCGGGAGGAGGGGATTCGTCAGCTCCACTCTGAATAAGAGGACTGGAGAAACAAACCAATGGTGAGAGGAATTCCTATTTGGTTCCAGCACTATAGAGAGCACAACTGTCTCTTTGAATCTGACCTTCATTTATTTGGAGGGGAAAGCAGTTAGTTCAATAATGGCTTCCTGGTGCCTTTCAGCATTTTAAGAGATGGAAGAAAGATTTGGAGCAGGGCAAGGTTCCAGTGTTTTCTAAGTAACGCACTAAGCCCAGCTACCAGTTGGCTGCCCAGCACTTCCTGCTATGCCCCAACCACCCCCCACCCCTCACACCCCATCCTTCTCCCCAATGCAATGCACCTCCCTCAATAGCCCAGCCACTCTCTGAGGCCCTGACGAGGCCTTCCTAGGCGAGGGGGAGCTGGTCTTCATTATAATGCTGGGCAGCTGGGGATTCCTTGGACATCTTGCACATGACCCAATGAGTAGAAATGCTGCTATATTATATTCCAATTATTTCCTGTCCCTCCATGGCCTAAGTCCAGGGGCTGAAGAAAGAAGTCCTTGTTTGGTGGAGTCCATCCCTGCTCCCGAGTAAGAGCTGGTTCCTGGCCCGACTTGGTCTGAGGCCTCAGGGAAAGGGTGGGGAGGAGGTAGGGGGAGCTACAGGTGGGGAGGGCTGTGTAGGAGATGAGAGGCTCTGTTCTGCAGGCAGACCAACCCTGCTCCCAAAAACAAAAACAAGGAAGGAAGGTAAACACATGGGGCCCCTAACCAGGACCCTGCGGCAGGGGGCCGGGGGGGACATGGCTATTTGCCCTCCGCCCTCCTTCCCAAGAGGAATCCCAACCCTTCTCTCCCATGGAGAAGACAAACAGGGCTATGGAAATCTCCTGCCATCCGGCCCCTGGAAGTCCACAGCCAGTTGGAAGTGACTCCTACCTGCGCTTGTGTTTGCCAACCACTGTCCCCAGATCTGCTTTCTCGCCTTATGAGTGGAAAGCCTTTCATGGAAAATTTAGAATTTGGAACCTTCTTCAGATTCCAAAGGAGTTATTGTCCTACATCATGCTACTTTTATTTGGGTGTTATTTGAAATCAAGAGAAGTAGAAACCCACATCTCGGTTTTGCTTGGATGTTCTTGCTGAACTATTAAGGACATGTTAATGAGGCACCTCCCCTGCTTGAAGCGCGTGCGCACCTCTCAGAGTCCCTCCCGAACTCAAAGCCTGGGGTCCAGACTCCTCACCTGCTGAGGCTTGGGTTTCCTCGGGGGAGGGATGCGGGTGGGGTCGGGTCAGGGAGAGCACAAGGGCGTCTCTGGGAGATAGTGGCATGGATGGCGGGGGTGCCTTCACGGCACAGAGGGGAGAAATGAGCTCTGGGAGCATCACGGTGGCAAGAATGCCTCGCTTCTGATGGCGTGGAGGCCAAGGACCTGAGGTGCGGGGGGATAAGTTCTCTGAAAGGGGGGAGTGGAGAGAATGTGAGTGAGAAGAGGCTGAGGGTGGGCCTGAAGAGCAGGGCCCAGGCAGAAGCCGCAGCACCCTGCCCTGCCGCGGGGCTGGGGAAGGGCAAGCGTTGCAGCATTTCAAACTGTGGCTGCAGGGAGCCAGGAGGCCGGCCCACCCGTGGTTCTCCAAGCCTGGTCGGTGGGCCATCTCTTCAGAATCACCCCGTGGGCCGGTTAAACGCGTGGACTCCTGAGGTCCCCGTGACCTACGGAGTCAGATTCTGTGGGTTAGGCCTAAGAAGCCGAATGTTTATGAGGCTGCACAGATGATTCCGATCCTCACTGAAGTTTGGAGCTCTGGTCTAGCCCAACCCTGTGGTTCCCTGGAAGTGAGCTCTGAAGCCCATGGAGGTAAAACAACAACCCTAAGGTCACAGATCTGACTGACGGCGAAGCTCACATGACAACTAGATTGCTCCTGACCCTCAGAGCATTTCAGCGGGCTGGCAGCCTCTTCTCCTATTTGGAGCCATTTCCCTCGTCCCCGAACACGAGAGCCTGCACCTTTGATCCGTCCCTGCACCCTGCTGGAGCCTTCCTGAGGATGCTCTGGTCCTAGCCTCTGCAGGCCAGCGGGCAGGAGCAGAAGGAAGGAGGGCCCAGTTTCCTTCCGAGCCTTCAGTAACAGGTGTGGGGCTGGCACATGAGTAGAAAAGGAGGAAACACACAGTCAGAGCTGAGGGGTTGACTGGGCTTGGGTCTTGTGGTACTAAGAGCTAACTTTCCTTGAGTGTTAGCAGTGCGCCAGACACTGCATCAAGTCCTTTGCAGGTATTAGTGCAAACTCCACGGAGCAAGTCGTAATTAGCCCTATGTTGCAGACGAAGAAACTGAAGCTCACAGAAGAGAGGTCACTTGCCCAAGGTCATGTAGCTAATGGTAAGTGGTCGTCTCACTTCCACCTACATCATAATCTTTGCATGGCCCAGTGCAGTGTGAACGTCATCCACTTTAACCCAAGAAGCCTGCAAAAGGACCCTGAGACCTTGGGAAAGAAAAGAAAGCTTCTCTGCAGTGAGATGTGATCACTCCTGGCGGGGGGTGGGGCAGGCAGAGCTTGCAACCTTTCCACTTAACACACTGGGAACATTTCTTACAGGCATTGGTCGGCCTTAGAAATGACACCATGGAGAGTAGGTTAAACAGCCTTTTTCCTTTATCTTTTTTAAAGGGAAACTCCTAATATCAATTTGCTTTCTTTCCATTTGTCTCTTTCTCTTGAAAGCAGCATGTCTTCAGGGTTTCAGTTACTTGAGGAATTTGGTTGTGTTGGGTTCTAACCGAGCCGCTGGCGTGACTGCAGGTGCGTGTGGTCCGCGGCATGCAGCTGCCGCTCCCTTTCCTGATCCCAGGGCACATGGCTTTGTCGTGATCGCCTCCCTCCATTCATTTTTCTGGAGCGTCCCCAGAGACAGGAGGAGAAATCAAAGCAGATCAGTGCCTCAGAGGATGGACAAGGGTTTCCCAGGCCATGTGGTTGGCATGTCACACTATCCTCTCGGTTTGCCTCTTAACCAGACCTCTTCGTCCTCAAAGAAATCACCTGGGGAGCCTTTTGAACAACTCAGGAGGACTACCAAACAAAAGAAGATGGACACGTTTTTATAGCAGGGGAAGGACTCAATTTCATTTTAGCAGGATTTGGTGTCTGGCAGCTAGAGGTGACGGGCAGCTATAACTTAATTCTGGTTATTTCATAAAATCACCAGTCAAGAACATTTTGGGGTGAAAACCGAGAATGTGTGATCCTCAGGTCATCTTCTCTTTCAAATCTCAGGCTTTAGATAACATAAAGGTGCGTTGAGGCTGGGGGGCTGAAAAATGCTCTTATTAACTCATAATGAAGGGAGTGCCACGAGGGGAGAGCCAGCTGTGAAGGGCCGGTGCTGGTGAGGGGAGGAATGTAGCCTCTGCAAAGCTCGGAGCAGCGTGGGGCCCTCTGCAAGAGCCCTGGAAATGCTGAATGAAAACTGCCTCTCTGTGTGCGAGCTGCCTCCCTCCTTTCCAAATGCCGCGTCTGCGGTAACTACAAACTACTTTGTATGCTGCATTCGTGACGCTGCCTTAGCCGCCACATGATTACTACCGAAATAAGCCTGGTGTGATGTTCAAGTCCAGTGGCCTTTTTAATTATTAAACCGAGCTGCTGAATGAGTCATTCCCCATGCCAGATTTTCCTCCCGTGGTTCTATTTTGAGTGACTAGTACCTTAGCAGGTTCCACGAACACCTGAGTTGGTTCTTAGCCAGATACCCAACCTACAAAACCTTTGCAGAACCAACAGTATTCTCCAGTCTCCAAACACACAGAGAGACTGCATAAAAAGACAAAACCCACAAAACTTCACAGTAAGCTCATCAGTAAAACCAAGATCGGAAAATGCCCCTGGGCCCCAACTTACCAAGTGGTAGAGCGATGAAGAAGGGTAGCCAACACAAGATGAACATCCCGACCACTATGCCCAAGGTCTTGGCTGCTTTCTTTTCCCTGGAGAACTTAAAAAGTTTGACAGCTATGGAACTCCTGGGGTTGTGGCCCTTGGCCCTGGTACTGCTGAGGGTGTCCTCGTGAAAGTTCTTGGAGTGGATCCTCAGGGTCAGCTCCTTGGAGTTGGACATCTCCTTCATGACGCCGGCCTCCAGGTTCTTGGTGGTCCTCTTGGCAACGATGTAGACGCGGCAGTACATGACCAGAATGACCGCCAGAGGGATGTAGAAGGAGCCCAGCGAGGAGAAGAGGGCGTAGAAGGGTTCTTCGGTGACCCCGCATTCCTTTTCATCATTGGGTGCTGGCTCCTTCCACCCAAGGAGAGGCCCGATGGAGATGACTGTGGACAAGACCCAGACGCTGAGCAGCGCCAGGATGGCCTTTCTCCGGGTGACTAGTGTCGGGTACTGCAGAGAGTAGCGCACCCCGATGTAGCGATCGATGGAGATGGCGCACAGGCTCAGGATGGAGGCAGTGCAGCACAGGACGTCCACGGCGGCCCAGATGTCGCAGAAGATCCGGCCCAGCACCCAGTAGCCCAGCACCTCCAGGGCAGCCGAGAAGGGCAGCACGGTGAAGCTTAGCAGCAGGTCGGCGATGGCCAGGTTGACGATGAAGTAGTTGGTGGGTGTCCGCAGGTGACGGTTGCAGGCCACAGACAAGATGACTAAAATGTTGCCCACGATGGCAAAGAGGATGAAGGCGCCCAGCACCAGGCCCACGGAGATGGCCCTGGTGACGTCCAGCTGGGGCAGCCTGGAGTTGTTCGAGGTCTGGTTGGGGCCAGTGAAGTTGGCATTTTTCAACTCTCCCCAGTGGGCAGGTGCTGATGTGTTGTGGCCGGTGTCCAGGTCGGGATTCATTTTAGAGTCCGCCCTCCATAGCCAGGGGGTTGATAGGGCTGTAAGGGCTGCGGGGAAGGCTCCTCAGCTGCCCTGAAACTTTGCCTCCCCCGTGGTGGTCTTCTTCCCAGAGGCGCCCTCCTGGCGAGGAGTCATCTCCCCAAGCAGCCCAGCCCGGCAGCGCGCGTCTCCTCCTGCACCGCCGCTCGCTCGCCTGTCAGAGGGAGGAGGAGGAGAGAGGGGACCAGGCGGCAGCTCCAAGTTAATGGTCCACGTCAGGCGCGCCGGCCGGGCTCGCGAGGGAGCGCGGGAGGAGGGGCGCGGGCGGGGGGCGCCCGGCTCGGCTCGGCCCGGCCCGCGGCGGGTCTGCGGACAGCGGCGCCTCCGCCCAGCCAGCGCCGAGGAGGGTCTGCTTTCAATGAGGCTCCGCTGGGCTGACGGCACGCCGGTGACATCAGGCGGGGGAGCCCGGAGCCCTGACTCCGCGCGGCACTAGGGGGCAATGCGGGTCCAGTGAAGGCGCCCGCACCCCGACGCCGCGCCCCCGCCGCCCCGGGGCCAGCCCTGGGCGCGCGCCTGGGCGCGCGCCCGTGTGGGGAGGGGTGAGGAAAAGAGACTTGAGTGTGGGGATCCCCTTGACCCCACCCCGAGGTGGGCTCCTGGGATCCCTTCCCCCCGTATTCACTCATTTTAAAAAGTGGGGTGGGGGTGCTTACCTCTAATCGGGGAGCACGTCTGGAGTCAACCCCCGAATTTAGGGGGATATACAACTTGTGCGGCACCTAAAAGAGGAAGAATTTCAAGGTTAGGCACGTGGGAGGGACTTGAGTCAGATGGGAGACCAGCCCCGACCCTTTACCTCCCCATGAAAATGAAAAAGCCTCTCTTCACTCTTCTTGCACGCATGCATTCACTCGTTCACTCAGACACTCGTTCACTCAACAGGTGTTAACTAAGTACCCATGCCCTGCCCAGGGTCTGTTCCAGGAGCGGTGGGCATTGCAACTGAACCAAGCAAAGACCCCTGCCCCTCCCCCCCGCCCCGGAGCTTACATTCCAGTGGGAGAAAACAGTCATCACAAAAGCAAGCGACCCGCGAGCTGTGTGGCACGCTGACAGGTGTAGCAGAGGAAATAAAGCGGGGTGGGGGGGTGGCGGGGATGGACTGGTGTGCGCGCGCGCGGGGGCTCGCATCCGAAACTCTGGGTGGGTGCTCAGGGCATCACGGAAATGGCATTTGAGCCAAGATCTGAAAGAAATGAGGAACCAGCCAGCAGGCGCTCTGGGGGCGAGGGTGGCGGGGAGGGGGGCGGTAAAAGATCTTCGGGCATTTGGCGGGGAAGGACTTGGGGAATCTGGATTATTTCTTGATCCCCCCCTTCTGTCTGTTATCCACATTGGACATTCAGCTAAAGGGACACACTCCCAAAGGTGGGCAAATGGTACTTAGGGAAGAAGGGCCAAAAGATGCCAAGGGAGAGCCTTATGTTGGTTAGCAATACTCCGGTACTCGGTGCGTCCTAGACAGTGTGCCGAGCACTCGTTGCCTTTCCTCATGGCCCAATGAGAGGACTGTTCTCATTATCCTTTCCATTTTGTGGACGGGAAAGCAAGATGTGGCAAAGTTTAACTCTTTGCCCAAGTCCACACAGCCTTCGAGGAGAGAAGCTGGGAACAAGCCACCGTGGGCCTGTGCCAAGCTGAACACTTAGCTGCCGTGCCGCACTTTTCCCTCAGAAGCAAGGCAGAGGGCGACGGTTTCCCCTTCAAATTTATTGAGATGTAATTGACATATAACACTGTATAAATTTAAGATATATAACAGGTTGATTTGGTACACCTATAAACTGCAAAAGGATTGCCATTATTGTGTTAGCTAACACCTTCATCACATCAATAATTACCTTTTTTTTTTTGTGGTGGGATCTTTTAAGATCTACTCTCTTAGCAACTTTCAAGAATACAGTACAGCATTATTGACTATAATCACCAGGCTATACCTTAGATCCCCAGATCTTATTCATCTTACAACTGGAAGTTTGTACCCTTTGACCAACATCTCCCCATTTCACTCTCCCAACCCCTGGTAACCACCACTCAACTCTGCTTCTATGAGTTCAGCTTGTTAGATTTCACATACAGGTGATACATAACATTTGTCTTTTTCTTTTTCTTTTTTTGGTCTAACTTATTTCACTTAGCATAGTGCTCTCAATGGCAGGCAGGATTTCTCTCTCATGGCTGAATAATATTTCATTGTATGTATACACACCTTCTTCTCTTTTTTTTTAGATTTCATTTATTTCTAGAGAGAGGGGAGAGGGGAAGGGAGAGAGAAAAAAAGTAAGAGAAACATCATTTGGTTGACTCTTGCACACCCCCAAATGGGGACCCGGCCTGCAACCCGGGCATGTGCCCTGACTGGAATTGAACCTGCAACCTTTTGGTTTGCAGGCTGGTGCTCAATCCACTGAGCCACATCAGCCAGATCTACACATCTTCTTCATCCATCCATCAATTGATGAACACTTAGGTTGTTTCCTTATCTTGAATATTGTGAATAATGATGTAATAACCATGGAGTATAGCTATCTCTTTGAGATCCTATTTTCATTTGCTTTGGATATATACCCAGAAGTGGGATTGCTGGATCATAACAGCAATTCTACTTTTAATTTTTTGAGGAACTTCCGTACTGTTTTACATAGTGACTGTACTCATATAAATTTGAGATAGGCAGTGGGTTGATAGCCCGAGCTACTAGTGCTGCGAGGGAACACACATTTATTGATAGCTAAGCATTTACTCATTTTCCTTTATTCTTCACAACATCCCTTTGAGTAAAGTATAACCATCCTCCCTGGACAGATGAGAAAACTGCGATTCAGAGAGAGTATGTATATTCCTGAAGTCGTATGGCTAGGAGACACGTGGCAGAGCAACGGGGTGTGACAGCTGGAGACTGAGAAGTAAAGCCTGATGCCTTCTTGTCCCCCCTCCACAAGCCTGCGCCTGGGGCTTCCTATCCCCTCCCTGGATCACCACTATAACCCGGTGCGCAGGGCTAGGAAACCCACTCGGGTTAATTTACATTTAAGCTCCTCAACAGAGAGGAACGTTCTGAATCTCTTCTTATTTTTAATATGTGCATATTTTTGGGAGAGTAGGTGATTATCACACCCCTACAGTTTTAATCTTTTCCCACCCAAATGCACAAAACACACAATTTCAAGGAGTTCCCTGAGATCAAGATATCTGTGGTAGAGAGAGTTCTGAAAACAGATTTTTCCTTCTATTTTAATGAAACTGGCTTAAGTTGGCTTTGAAGATGTTAAGAGGTTCACAGATTTATAGCTATTTCACTCTTCAGGAGCTACTAGAACCCCCATTTGCCCATTTTCCATTTGGGAGGTGGTCAGGGGCAGCGGGGACTGGGCAGAGCTGGCTATCAAATCCCGCTTCCCTGGCCCCCAGAGCGGGGCCCCTTCCTCCCCCGTAGAGGGAAGCCGCACGCACGTGACACCTACTCATGACTCACACAGCAGGGGGTGACACTGGGACAACTTGGGCAGCCCTCAGCCAAGGGTATTTATGAAGAGGAGACATTGTCCTGCTCCTGGGTGGCTCATGTATTAATGCTAATCTGCTGGGAGATAGGGGCTGAGCCAGATGGCGTTTTGAGGTCTTCTAGCTCCAGGTAATCAGCTTCCCTTGGCGGATCAAGTGGGCCCTGAAGGCACCTCGCTGCCCTTCCTCCCCCTCTTCCACAGTGGTGCTAGGAGCGGCATGTCACACACTCAGTACCCTCCACTCCCGTGTCTCTTCACATCCAGGATGAGGGCGCTTCTCCTGAACTGGTTTGTTCCCTGGGGAGCAGGAGGGGGGAGAATGCCAGTGAGTTGGCAGAAGCTGGCGATTAGCACAAAGGCTGGGGTGTGGGAGAGGAAGGGTGGGACAGAGTGAGGAGCAAGCTCCAGGCCCACATATCGCTGGTGGTGGCCCATTTCCCACTTCCCTGGGCACTAATCTCACCAGCTATTGAACAGCCAGAAACACACCATTGAATTTACGGAGGCTGTGTCTACATAATCACAGTCACCAGCTGCAGTGCGAAAACTCAGCCTATCAGACATTTTTCTACGGTGGCAAAAGGCCAGGAAAAGAAAAAGAGCAGATCTGAGATTTCAGGGTTGGTTTATACTTGTTTTGAAAGAGAACAGTGTGTTACCTAGATGAGAACTTATGCTTGATTCAGATGTCAGGATGTGAAAGAGATTATTGAGCCATATCGAGAGGTTCAAAATCCTTGTAGATTGCAGATGTGTTGTCATTTAGCGGCGTCTTTCACGAAGACAAAACAAACATCTCACGGTAAGGCAAACAGGTATTAGCCTTAACAGCAGCCGTGTACCAGGACCCTGCTAGCGCAACCTTTGCTGATGGTCCTTCCCTTGCAGTTCCTCCCATCCTTTCACTGGAGATGCCTCTTAACCTGCCTGGCTGATATTTGACCCCATGGAATTGACCGTTTGTTTAGGTGTCATGAGGATACAGACGATATTTCATTTTCTTGATACTCCCTGGGGCAGAGCCGGGCACAGAGCTCTGACTCACTCGAGGCTTGGGGAAGAAGAACCTTTTCATTAGCCATGATTACATTACAAACCTCTGATGTTGCAGACTCCCATTTCTGGGAGCCGTCTAGGAGAAGCTGCCGCTGAGCTTGACCTCTGGGGAGACCAAGGCAATGGGAGGTTCAGAGATCTGCTTAGTGGGTCTCTGCAAGGCGAGCTCTCACATGTGGCCATGCAGTTTTGCATTCTCCCTCTCTAGCTCTCTCTTGTTTTCCATTCTTGCAGCCATATACAGGGGCATCTGCTCTGTGGAAAGGCACCACACTAGGTGCTGTGTGCGAATCAAAGATGAATTAAATCAGGCAAACAACCTTGCACTGATCTAGGTGCCAGGGGCAATGAATAGGATGGTGGAGTACCCTTCAGAGAGTACCTACTACGTGCCAGGCACTGCACTAGGTACTCCACGTGCATTTACGCATATCTTCACACCAAAGCAAGGTAGCCAGTATCCCCATTTTACGTGAGGAAACTGAGGCTCAGAGGGGTCCTGTGATGTGGCCAAGCCTATTTGGTGAGTAAACAGCATTGATATTCAGAGCATTGTTGTCTGGCTCCAAAGCTTGCGTCCTTTTCTCTGCACCAGACTGATTTAAGAGAGAGAGAGAGAGAGAGAGAGAGAGAGAGAGAGAGAGAGAGAGAGAGAGAAGAAGAAGAAGAAGAAGGAGAAGGAGAAGGAGGAGAAAGAGGAAGGAAGGAAGGAAGGAAGGAAGGAAGGAAGGAAGGAAGGAAGGAAGGAAGGAAGGAAGGAAGGAAGGAAGGAGGGAAGAAGACAGCAGGTTTGGTGTTTGCCTTGAAGGAAATTACAGCAGACGACAGAGTGTGATCAGGTTCCTGAGCGAGGCAGAGGTCAGGGAGGGGACGGCGAGGCAGAGCTGTCCCGGTGAGAAGGCCCTGCAGGGGAGCTCCCTAGGCTGGCTTCCTTGGCCAGCTCCAGGTCTGCCGAGAATTTGAGAGCTGACTTGGAGTCCAATCCTGCTTCCCTCATTCAATAGCGGCTAAATGACCTTGGGCAGGAGAGTAAAGTGATTAAGAGCCTGAACTCTGGCATCCAACAGGCCTGGATTTATGTTCCAGTTCCACTAATTTATTAGCTGTGTGTGTCCTTGGGCAAGTCATCTATCTAACCACTCAGAGCCCCAGTTTCC